TTTTTGAATTAAATTGTTTGTTTGGAGTCTTTTTCCTATTATAGGTCACATAATATTTTCACTCTATCCAAACCTATGCATAGAGCTTTTGATCATGAATAGTTTCAAACAGCAGTTGAATGAATGTATAATTAACTTCCACATACTCCACATCTATATCTGAGAATTGTTAACGTTTTGACCATTTACACAAATAGTATTTGTTGCACCATCTGAGAGTATGTTTTATATATGGCAACTTTCCCCCAAGTATTTCAGTACACATCATTTAAAATTTTCATTCCTCTCTAGAATTCAAAATCCTCTTTATGAGCTATTTGAAAATACTCAGTTCATTGCTGTGAACTGTTGTTTTTCCACTGCTTTTCAAACCTCTTTTTCAGCCACTGGTAATGAGTATATTATTTACTTCAATGAGATCAACTTTTTAGCTACCAACTGAGGGACAGTATGCAGTATTTGTCTTTCTGCACCTGACTTATTTTACTGAATATTTACCAGTTTCATTCTCATTGCTACACATGACAAAAATCTCATTTTTCATACTAGAGAATAATATTCAAATATGTATATATGCTACATTTTCTTTATCCATTTATCTGTCGATGGACAACTTATCTGATTTTATATTTTGGCTATTGTGAGTAGTGCAGCAATAAATAAAGAGTGAATGTATCTATTTTGTGGCAATTGCAGTTTTCAAAATATGTACCCAAAATGAGATAGTTGGATCATATGGTGAGTTTATTTTTAATTTTTTGAGGAAATTTTTTTAGTTTTTCCATAATGGTTATACAAATTTATATTCCCACCAGCAGTGTATATGACTTACATTTCCTGTGCATTTTCATCAGGATTTGTTAGTTTTTGCTCTCACTGATAATAGCTATTTGGACTGGAATGAGATTATTTCTCATTGTGTTTTTTTAAATAAATAGTACTTTATTATTAACTAAGCTTCTTCTACCAGGAAAAAGAAAATAAAGCATACAAAATAACTCCCATGAAATGTACCTTAAAAATGCTCTGACATTTGAAAGTAATTGAGTATATTCTAGGTCCCACTTGCAGGCTGTAGTACTATTACCTAATGGAGGCTCAAATAAATAATACCTACATAATGTTTATCATTGTACATAAACCTGAGTTTGCAATGGTGGAGGAATTTTGTCATTTTCAACATTTTCGGAGTCAATAACTGCTAATGTTTGACTTTGAAGCTTAATATCAAGTACATATTTCTCCACAATGTATTGAACTTCTTTGTAATTCCATGTGTCCAATGTATTAAGTCTTTCTCAAGTTTTGTGGCTTCATTCAGGATTCTTTCCTGTCTTTCATTCAATTGAGACAGGAGGTCTAAGATCTTATACATCTGCTTCACACCTAAGCAAGCATCAGGAGACCAACTCTTGGGTTCTTGCCTCCTGGGAGTGGTGTGGCTAGACATGTAGCAATCAAAATCCTCCTGACTTGGATTCAAAGATTGGGCATCCAATATGTCAATGAAAGCCCCAGCACAGTTCAGGTTGATAAAATTCTATCTGTCCTCTCCGTCATCAGCTTGCTGATGTTGCAGAAGCAGGTGATGTAAGGGATGTAAGATTACAGGTGGGTTGGGGTTGCCCTTCAGCACAATGTAGATGAGCTTGGGCAAGAAGCAGAAGAAGGCTCAAGTCATTCGCAGAAGCAGGCTTATTGTTGGTGATTTTGATGGCATTGAAGATATGCTTGCTACACTTGGTGAAGCAGACCAGCTTATCTTGGTATGCTTATAGATCTTTATAGGCTTTGTATCCTTATTAGTGATATCTTATCCTCTTCTGAATGGTGCAGTCTTTCTTATCATCAGTGGCTTCTGAACAGAACACATATTTAGAGAGGGAGTCATGATGTACTTTTCAATCGGATCCATTATCTTCTCAACTGTTTCTGGAGGCACTTTTCCATGAGTCAGCATTCTTTCTGCTACACTCTGGTAAAACTCCTGACTACATGCTGACTGCTCCTCAATGCCCAAATAGCTTTTGTAATGCATCCTTCCCAAAACATCTTGGTCTGCTTATAGATCTCTTGTTCAGTTTTGTGGAAGGTCTTGAGAAACTCTATGAGCTCCTTAGACACTGTTTCAATGTTGTTTGCAGGTTAATGGAAGGACTGGGAGCTTTTGCTTCCTGACCTTTTTGATCCAACTCTGGAACAAGTACTAAAGAATTTCTTCACTGTTGTTACCTTGTTGATCTTTCTATTGGTTTTCTTTTCTTCAAATTTGGAAAATGTGATGAAGGGTGCCCCCTGGCTGCTCTGAATGCTGCTGGCCAAGTTCTCTTCCTTCTCCTGCTGAAGTCCTTCAGCCAGCTCCCAGTACTTCTGGATCTCCTCTCTCCAGAACTGGGAACAGAAGCCCTGCTGGGCAGGGTGCCATAACAGCCACATCACTTCTTGCACAGGAGCTCAGATTTGTCCACGTGAGTCCACGTGAATTCCTAGGCTCTCAGACTTAAGGCTCATCTCTTCCTGCTGGGCGGCCCCTGGAATCACACTACAGCCACCAAGGCTGCTCCAGGAGGTGCCTCATTGTGGTTTTGATTTGCATTTTGCTGATGATTACTCATAACAAATTTTTTTCCTATACATGTGGATGATTTGTATTTTTTTAGTTATATAATTTGTATTTTTATTGTTGTTTTTCTAGAATTCCTTATATATTCTGGTAGTAATTCCTGTCAGAAAATTAATTGGGAAATATTTTGTCCTCTTCTGTAGGTTGTATCTTTACTCTGTTGTTTCCTATGCTTCTTCTTTGACCTAATTTTTATGTTGTCATTTTCTGTCTGTGCTTTTGGGGTGTTATCCAAACAATCTTTCCTTCTATGTATGTATTGAATTTTTTTTTTCATGTGTTCTTCCAGTAGTTCAATAAATTTAGGTCTTAAAGTTAGGTCTTTAATACATTTTGAATTGAGTTTTATACATGGTGAGAGGTGGTGGTTAAACGAAACCCTCTATTTTTAGAATTTTAAAAAGGTGGATAACCTTATCTCCACTTCAAACAAAAAAATCATAATGTGGCAATAACATGTCTTTTGTGTTCAGTTTTACGAATTGTCCTTCCACAGTGTCAGCATCTCTTATAATGTAATTTCCTTCTCATTTTTTGTTAGAATATTTTCTTTTCCCAGAGAGTATAGGTCGTGTAAACACATTCTGATGTGCTTAATTAAACATGTGCTAATTAGCATACCATTGGGAAAGTATTCACAGCACCAAAAAAAGTGAGCAAAATTTGAAGCACATGACTCTTTATTTACAAAAAGCTCATGAAGCAACATGTAGCAAAAAAGTCACCGTGAAAGGTACAACATCAACTTCTTAGGAACTTCCATGCCTCCTTCACAATAGGTCACATACCATACATGACAGACATCCCACAATAAAAATACAAATGCTGATTCTAAGAGGCATTCTCATACAAGTTCCTTAAGCAAAATAGGTTTCTAAAGTTATGTCTCTCTCCCTAGAATAAGTCATGTTACAAATAGATTACATTGTATCAGAAACAACCCCAAAGCTGAGTGGCTTATAACATTTATTTCCCACACACAGTACATGTGGACTTAGGATCTACTAAAAGTTGAATATAACTTGACTTGGATCCGTTTTGAATGTTTTCTCAATCTGGAACCTAGGTGGGAGGCATGGTGAGGAGGATGTCCACACATGCAGTGTCCCACAGAACAGTACCAGGGAACAAGAAGATTGAGAAGGTATCCACAATCATTGAGTGGCTTGTGTAAGCTGAACTTAGAAGTAGCATACTCAATTCAGATCAAGTGCATATTATATTCACTCTGATCTATTGACCAAGTGATGTCACCTGGATAAACATGTGAATGGGCAAAGACACTCCACTCCAGGAAGACATGTCAATAGCAGCAAAGCTTAATCCTTTCTCAGAGAAGGATATAAACACTTGGGAATGGTGATGCAATCTATGCCCCAAACCTTTGAATTATAGAGCCAACGGATCTCTTAGAGAGTGATCTTCAAAATGGAGTACAGGTGCCCTGGTTTTTAAAAACGAGGAACCACTAGGGCAGAAAGATAAAATACTAACATTTCTATTTATATTTCCTTATGATTATAAGAAAAAATAAGCTTCACTTACATTTTAATGGATTAAGTATCAGGTGCCTGTCATATATGGTATGCTGGTCAACACATCAATGTTTATAGCAGCACAATTCACAATAGCTAAACTGTGGAGCCAATCTAGATGCCCTTCAGTGGATGAATCGATAAAAAAATGTGGCATATATACACAGTAGAATTTTACTCAGCAATAAAAGAGAATAAAATCATGGCATTTGCAAGTAAATGGATGGAGAAGATAATGCTAAGTGAAGTTAGCTAATCTCCAAAAAAAAAAAAAAAAAAAAACTTAATGTTTTCTCTGATATAAGGAGGCTGACTTATAGTGGGGTAGGGAGGGGGAGCATGGGAGGAATAGAGGAACTCTAGATAGGGCAGAGGTGTGGGAGGGAAAGGGAGGGGGCAGAAGGTTAGCAAGGATGGTGGAATGTGGTGGACATCACTATCCAAAGTACATGTATGAAGACATGAATTGGTGTGAACACACTTTATATACAGAGGTATGAAAAAGTGTTCTATATATGTAATAAGAATTGTGATGCTTTCTGCTGTCATGTATTTAAAAAATAAAACCAATAAAAAATCCCCCCCCCCAAATAAAGTAAAAATAATAAAAGAGTAAAAAAAAAAACCCCAAACGGCCCGAGCAGTCGGACATGATGATGTGAATGCAATAGGAACAAGTGGCAATAACCAACAACAGGTTGGTTGGCTAATACGTTACACTTGCATGTGGACACCCACACACTTCAGTTTTGCTGGTGAATTTATAGAATGAATTTCTTAGGAAGGCTTCTGTATTTGTTTAGTTCCTCTTTTTCTTTTCTTCATATTTGAGTTACCACTTTTGTTACATTTGTTTATCTATTTTGATTCTATTAGAATGCTATAATTCCCTTTCTGGTTTTCCTGAAGATTGGATCCTTGTGGCCCAGTGGTTTCATATGATTTCACTCTTAGAGGTATGTTCCTATTTATTACTTGGTCTCTCATCTAGTTAAGTGTTAATAATTTGCTCTCAGGATGGAATCTCACTTGTAGTATGTTTTAAGGAAAATACCACATGGGATTTTTGAAGAAAGCAGAAGGTTTCCTCTCAAGATGGCTTTGGGAACAAATTATGCCAAAGTGAGTTTGCAAAATATACTGAAGTCCTCCAGCACCAACTCAAATTCTCCTGCAGGTAAAAATCATTTTCCAGTGGTCAAAGGGAATTGTGAGTTGAAGGATGAAGAGACAGTTAATAAGCAGGGCAGAGGTAATGTTAGTTACTGTTTCTGTGAAGTGATCATGTCTGTGAAACCCAGGAACCTCTGAGGATTGTGCTGCCTGTAGATAGGAATGAAGGTGTTGTAGATTTGCAAAGTCAGATAAAATAGATCCATAATACTTTCTTTACTATTATCATTTACAAATAATCAGACTTTAAATTTTATTGTGTATCCTTGCAGATATAAATATATAAAAATATGTGTGCCTATATTTCCAGAACTGAAAGAATATAATACTGAGTTTTTTCTCCTCAAGATTGACAATATACCTAATTTAAAGAAAATTGTTTGTCTTTATTTGGTGGTTTTATCTTAATGATCTTAATGGAATGTGTACCCCCTGACCCCCTCCCCTTTGTTGGTGGACAATTTCAGGGTTTTGTATATCCTGGTCAAAATTGCTGTAGCATGAAGCTATATCCTCAGTCCAGAAAATGGTTTCTAACCATGGATCAGTGACTAAAAGACTGACTTTATCTTAAAAATATGAAATTTGTTCAGAAAGTTTTATCTTCTATAGCATACTTATAAGTTGGACACAATCTGAAATATTATTTAAATATGTAATGAAATATTAAGAACCATATTAAAATATTAATAAAAATTATGGTGAAAAATGTTCATTCTACAGTGTAAAAGAACATATTGAATCAGAAATCAGGAAATATGTATGTTAATGAATTGGAAAAATGTTGTACACACTTCAAAAATTGCTGAAGGGACATGTGCCAAGCTTTGAAAACTATGGGGACTGTTGGAGATCAACTGACTGTATTTTCCATTGTGAGATGGACATGAACTTTTGGGGACCAGGGGCAGAATGTTAAGGTTTGAATATGAGATGTGCCCTGAAAAGCTTATTTGGCAATTCAGGAATGTTCAGAGATAAAATAGTTATGAGAATCATAACTTAATCAGTACATAATTAATATATTTGATGGATTAATAATTATAATGGATTACTGGGTGGTAATCAGGTATGGTGTGGCTGAAGAAATTAGGTCACTTGGGCGTGACTTTAGATCATATGTTTTCATTTCCATGTTTTCAATGGATGAATTATAATTATACACAATAGTGAGATTCACTGTTATATATGTATACATGTACATGGTATGACAATACCATTTCTCAGTGGATTATATTTTTACCTTGGCTCCTGGTTTGCTCTTTCTTCTTCCTGGGTATCTTGAGCTGAACAGCATTTCTCCACCAAACCCTTCTTCTAGGATGGTCTACCTCACCTCAGGCCTAAAGCAGTGGAGAAGACTGACCACGGACTGACACCTCTAAAATCAAAACTCAAAATAAACATTTTCTATTCTAAGATATTCTTGTCAAATGTTTTGGTCACAGTGACAAAAAGGTAACTCCTAGAGGAGGATTTGGAAATAAGGATAGAATTTCTTTCTGATGAGTTAATTTGATTTATTCTTCAGATCCCAGGGAAAACACCATTCCTCACCAAGGTAATTTTTTTCCCAAGCTTCTTCTTGCGTTGTTGCTGATACTTTTCCTGCTGAAGGAAATCTTATTGTCTGTCTCTTTTATCAGTAAGTATGCCAATGAAGTTGGTTAGCAATACCTGCCTTTCATGAACAGAAACTAACCATTAAAACCTGATATTTCACAATGTTGCAGACATTTGAAAAATAAATATTGTCTGAGGTGGGGGATAGAGTTCCTGAGTTTTCACTGGGAATTTTTGTTTTTCACCAATAATGGAATTCATGTTCATTGAGAAAATTTGAAGAGTAGATATGTGTGTGTGTGTTTTGATGTTAGAATGAAATCAATGGGTCATCAGTTCTACAATAGATTCTGTGTGAGGACACATCTGTATTTCCTTAATAGCTTTTATAAGGCTCATCTTATCTGACTTCACAGATATATTTTTGGGTGATGAAGTGGACATGAAGGTGATGGAAAGAAATACTCCAGAGAGTTCCCAGGGAATTTCCTTCTAGTAGTTTCTGTCTGGCCCATTGTGAGATCTCAGGAAAAATCAAATTCACAAATAGGTGGGTTTATGCATATGCTTTATTTCAGAGTTTAACAAGTTTTCAAAAGTCATAAAACTCAGCATTTATTAGGGTAGATATTTGATTCATTACTTTGGTCATTTGATGAGTAACAATGGCCATACATATTGTTTGCTAGGCACTGTGTTATCCAGAAATAGCCACAGCCACTGGTCTCAAGATATTAATAGAATAGTCAAAAAATCCAGTGCTGTGCTGGGGTTGTGGCTCAGTGGTAGAGCACTCACCTCGCTTATGTGAAGCCCAGGGTTTGATCTTTAGCACACATAAAAATAAGTAAATTAAATAAAGGTATAGTGTATATATACCAGTGCTGACAACACAAGATGGGAAGGGTTGTGTAGGTAAGAAGTGAGCACAGGAGGATTAGAAAGGTTTCCTGAAGGAGGAGACACCTACATTTGTTAGTATCAAAATGATATAGGCATATTATATTAAAACATGGAAGATTTGGGAGCAATATAAACATACCTTACTGGGGGGGGACATATAGTGTGATGTGAAAAACTATGAAATGAAGTTGTAGGTTGACCACATAAACAGAATTCAGATCATGAAGAATGTTATATACTATCAAAAAATTTTTGATTTTCCCCTGAAGTTTATTTTATAAAATATCATTTTCAACTTAACAAACAAGCCTAAAACAGTGAATTGAAACAGCTATTTATTTAGCTCATGCATCTGTGGCTTGGCAATTTAGACTGTTCTCAGATGGGAGTTTCTTTGGTACTGGCTGAACTCTCTCATGCATATTAAATTAGGGACCGATAACAGGTATCAGTTTATGAAGAAGAGCATGTCAACTGGAATGAAAGGGGAAATTTTACCATATTTTCATCATTCATCAGGCCAGCCTGGGCTTATTCACATGGCCACTTGCAGACTTCAAAGATGAAGGGTGAATGGAAACCAAGCACATTAATGTTTCAATATGGAACTATCTTGGTTGCTTTTGCACATTCTATTGGTCAAATGGAGTCTTAAAGGCAGCTCATATTCTATTAGTGATGAAACTGACCCTATTTCTTGATTGGAGAAGGTACAAAGTCACATTGCAAAGGCATGTAAATACCAGAAGGGTGGAACATGGAGGCCAGTTTTGCAGTGTGTCAGTTATGTGGAGTCATTGCTGAATTTTGGGCAGGGGTGTGACATAATCAAATTTGACTTAAGGAGGCATGCTTTTACTGAGTTTTGTAAATGGATTTAAGAGGACAAAGGTGAAGATAAGGATAGGCATTATTTTCTAGAAAATGGACAGAAGTAGACAGCATTGTGTTGAGTAAGATAAACCAGACTGAGAAAGTCATTGGTTGTATGTCTTCTCTCATATATGATAATTTGGGAGCAAGAAGAGGACAAGGGATGAGGTCTCATTAAAATTGAGGGAAAAGTTAGTAGAGTAGAGGCAGGGGACCAGGTGACAGAAGAGAGAAGGTATTGGGGAGGTACTGGGGAATGAAATTGACCAAATAATGTTATGTGCCTGTATGACTATGTAACAGTGCATCCTATTATGATGTATAAGAATAATGCACCAGAGAGATTCTAATTCATTATACCAATGGAAAACATTGACTCATTTAAGGAAGAGTTAGTGAAGAAAGAGAAGACAGGTAAGCTTTGAAGGATAAAGAAGATATAAACAAGGAGGCCAAGGCTTGATGTATATTAGGGATTAAAGGACCTGGAGAAGTTAAGTGTGAATATAATATTCTGACCTTTTAAACTCAGCAGTGAAGATGTTGTTCAAAGGCGTAGGCAGTGTAGGATAAATAGTGGGCTTCTTTTGAGAGATGATTACTTATGTTTAACACATTGTAATGTGTTATGTTTAACACATTACAAAGTGTTAAACTACAATGTACATGTCCAGTGGGAGGCATATTTGCCTAGATTTTAGGACAGAGTTCTGGAATTTAGAAAGTGATTTACATAATGATAGCAAATCCTACCTGGGAATATATGTTATCACTCCAGAAGAGGACTTTAAACAAGAAGTAGGGATTAGGAAAGAATTCTTGGATATGTTACATTTTTTAAAAAAATGTGAATGGAGGAAGAGAGCTGATGAAAGAGAATAAGAAGCAGCAGTAAGAAAGGTGAGGCAGGAACAGGAGAGAACAGTGTACCAAGAGCTGAGGAGGAAGACCTCGGTGAATGATTTCAAGAAGGACATTAGGAAATGACTAATAAATGGTCCTAGCAAATTACTGAGGATGGTTTTAATGAAATGATGGATGCCAAAGCCTGAATGAAGTGGGTCGAGGAACAAATATTAAGCTAGAGGGAAAAAAAGAGATTTAATTTCTTGCAGTAGTGTTGATTAACCCAGGGCCTTGCATATTATAGGCAAGTGCTATGATACTGAGATGCTACTGCAGTCTAGAAAATCCAATTTCTAGAGGTGGAGTTTAGTTAGTTCTAAATTGGGAGAGACACACAAAAGAGAGGAAGAACAATGTCCTCTTGATTAATCTTTGGGTTTTTGAAAAACATTTTTTTCTGTTCTTTAAGATCACCCAGAAATTGTTAAAGTTAGTAAATTCTTTCTTCCCCCAAAGTCCCAGGTTGTTTACTTCCTTAAATAACTTCCACTCCCATCCCTCTAAATGTGGCCTTTGTTTGCATCTTGGGTTAACTCTGGAAGGAGACTATGGATAACATCCTTCAGATCCCATTATGATGGAACTTTCATGTCTTCTTTCAACTCCTCATCTTTCAGCTATTCCTGGAGATACCTAATATTTCCAAAGCAGTAGGATTAAGATTCCATTGAGTGAGGGGTCATGGGGAAACTTTTTCTGTCAGGCTCTGTCCAATTGGGTAATTGGCTATGTGTAGATTTTGTCCATAGAATGCAAGAC